AATGTACGGTGGTTTGGTACTATGGAAATTAGCGCACAGTCTAAGAATCAATCTTGATCAACAGAAATTATCTAGAATTAATACGATTGCTGGGTCAGTCTCCAGCGGTTCATCATTTCTCTCTGTAATAGCATATAATAACACACTGACACCAATAAAGATATAGAAAACGTTTTTTAATCTTTGTAGGCTTTGTAGCTGGAAAAATAAAAGATATTACACGTCATTGTATTTTTATATTTATATTTCTCTCTCTATATATAGGTAAATAAATAAATAAATAAATAAATAAATAAATAAATAAATAAATAAATAAATAAATAAATAAATATATATATATATAATTATCGTGACTGCATATTCACAAACTGGTACAGTAGGAGGTGTAACATGCACACATATACAACGTATAATTAAGGTGCAGTAAACCCAAAGGTTTTTGGTTTTTTATCCGTCTATAGATGTCTAATTTTATGGCTAGCATAATTATAGCTTGAGATTGTGACAAGAAGACGCTGTTTCAGTGACTATAATTTCGTATATCTTTGATGAATNATATTCACAAACCGGTATATCAGGAGGTGTATCATGCACACATATAAAACGTATAATTAAGACGCAGTAAACCCAAAGGTTCTTGGATTTTCTTCCGTCTATAGATGTGTAATTTTATGGCTAGCATAATTATTGCTTGAGATTGTGACAAGAAGACGCTGTTTCAGTGACAAATTTAGTATATCTTTGATGAATTACTTTAATAGAAAGGAGTAAGTGTCTATGAAGGTCGACAGAGATTGTTACAGCGTTAAACCAGAGCATATAAATCAACTAATGGTTGATTTATATGCTCTAGTTAAACTTATACGCTACGTTAATTGTTATCAACTAGAATGACTCGATGTTTTATGAATCCAGAGTAAACCGAACATAGCAAGGAACAGGTTCAGTAAGCATGAATAAGCAGTGACGTATCATGCAGTACTGGAGGGCCCCACGTAATCGTAGCTTGCAGCACACATGCATAACTTGCTGGATGATATATCCCCAAATTGCTGCTACAGATGGTTCATGTACAGAACTTATATATATATACGTACCGACGGGTTCTCCACTAGGTAACACTGCCGTGAAAGCTCCGCTGCCTTCTCCAAACTTCAGCATCAACCTAAGCGCCTTAAGCTCGAAGTCTTCATGTATGAACTCTTGCCACCATTTCGTCATATACGGCAGATCTGACTCGGTAGCAGCTCTGACCGTACACTCGCCCGCCATGACGTCTAACATGCAGTAGAGTGAAATGTATTATGTAATGTGCACCGGCGTCTAGATATTTTTTTGCGTGCAATCTCAGTAGCGCCTCCTATTCTAGTTATCATCCACACGAGGTGTAGCATCTAGATATTTTGGTTTGCGTCTGTGTAAACAATATGCTAAGCACGTCTTTATCATGTCTTATCCGTCGCACTCCCTCATATCAAGCTCGAACACTCGCCCTCTTTCTCTTTCGCTCCCACCCTCTCTCTCTCTATCTCACTCTTGTTATCTCTCTCTTACTCTTTTTTCTCTCTCTTGCGCGCGGTCTTTCTCTCTCTCTCTATCTCTCTATTTATCTATCTATCTATCTATCTATCTATCTATCTATCTATCAATCTACCTATCTACCTATCTATTCTGATGATCTATCTATCTATCTATCTATCTATCTATCTTATCTCATCTATCTATCTATCTATCTACTCTATTCGTCTAGTCTATCGTCTATCTAGCTATCTATCATCGATCTATCTATATCTATCTTTATCCATCTATCTATCTATCTATTCTATCTATTCTATCTTTCTATCTAATCTATTATCTATCTATTCTATTTCTATCTGTTCTATCTATTCATCATTATTATCTATCTATCTATCTTATCTATCTATCTTATTCTTCATCTATCTAGTCTCTATTATCTATCTATCTATCTATCTATCATCTATCTTTTATCACATTATCTATCTATCTATCGTTCATCTATCTATCTATCTACTATCTTTATTATCTATCTATCTATCGTATCATCTATCTATCTATCTCTTTCTATCTCTCAACTCTTCTCCTCCCCTCTCTCGTCTCTCTCTCTCTCTCTCTCTCTATCTGTCTCTCTCTCTCTCCTTCCCCCTTATCTCTCTCTCTCTCTCCTCTCTCTCTCTCTCTCGCTCTCTCTCTCCTCTGCTGCTCTCTCTCTCTGTCTCTCTCTCTCTCTCCCATTCCTCCCCCCTATCTCTCATCCATCTTCGGCCTCTCTCTCTCTCTTCTCTCTCTCTCTCTCCCTCTCTCTCTCTCGTCTCTCTCTTATCTATCCTATCTGTCTCTCCTCTCTCTCCTCTATCTGCTCGCTCTCTCTCTCTTCTCGTCATCTCTCTCTCTCCCTCTCTTTCGCTCTCTCTTCTCTCTCTCTCTCTCTGCCTCTCCCTTTTCCCCTATCTTCTCTCGCTCTCTTCTCGTTCTCTCTCTTTTCTCTCTCTTGTCTCACTCTCTCTCTCCTTTCCCTACTCTCTCTCTCTTCTCTCTCTCTCTCTTCTCTCTCTCGTCTCGCTTCTCTCTGTCTCTCTCTCTCTGCTCTCTCTTTCTCTTTGTCTTCACTACCTCTCTCCTTGCCCCTATTCTCTCGTCTCTCTCCCCTTTCCTCTTTCTCTCTCTCTCTCTTTCTCTTCACTTTCTCTCGTTTCTCGTTTCCCTCTCTCTCTCTCGGCTCTCTCTCTCCCCTAGCTTCTCTCTTCCTCTCTCTCTGCTCTCTCGCTCTCTCCTGCTCTCATCTCTCTCTCTCTCCTCTCTCTCTCGTCTCTCGCTCTCCTCTCTCTATATCTCTCTCTTGTCTCTTCTCTTCTTTCGTCTCTCTCTCTCTCTCTCTTCTCTCTTCTCTCTCTGGCTGTGTCTCTCGGCACTCCCTCTCCCCCCCCTTTCTCTCTCTCCTCGTCTCTTTCTCTCTCTCTCTGGCTCTCTTTCCCTTCCCCTTATTCTCTCTCTCTCTCTCTCTCTCTTTCTCTTTCTCTCTGTCTCTCTCCTCTCTCCTCTGATTCTCTCGCTTTCTTCCGCTCTCTCTCCAACAACGCTGCGCGCCGACGTTAGTGCGCCGAGGCCGCGTGTGTGTACGAAATCACCTGAATTTTATGACACCCCGAAACTCTCATGCACTGCATGTTGCCTTCTATCGTGTCTCACGTCAGCGATTGTCCGCATGATATTCCTGCAGGCTATAATGTAGTCGCCGTAGATTTTGTCGATTTAAGCTGGGAAAAAGCGAGAAAAATTCAACATTTTACAAATATTTACGTTACTTTGAGCATTCTTATGGTGAAACCAAGTTATACTGAGGTAATAGTAAGGCACATCACACTATAAAGACCAGTGAATGCCAATTAAAAAGGTAAAGTTTTTGGGTGTTACCGCGCGCCATCGTCTTTCTAAATATAGGAAACTTCGTCTATATATGAAACTATGAAAACTATAAAAACTATGAAAACATGAACTATGTCTAATCAATACAAGACGCCATAGTTGTGATTGGGAGCATAATGTACATACCTCTGTGCATGTATAGGTGGCTGACTGTGAAGTCATAACGTTAATCTTACACTCGCGGCAATAAGATTACAGGCTTGGAAACTCGGTTTCTTCCAGATGGCGCAGATGTCGTAATTAAGAATAGACACGACGTTTTCAATTCGTAGGATCACCTCATGCTTCGTGTGCAGCTGTTTTGGTGTGTCACAAACCTTGCTCAAAGTGCCTCTATCATCCTTGTCGCAAATGTGCTGTCTACGGGCGTATACGTTCTCTACGAACTGTCACTGCCGTGAAAGCTGCGCCCCTTTCTCCGTACTTCAGAATTTTCTCGTGAATTTTGAGCTCGATATCTTATGGTTTACATGGTATCAGGAGTAGATAAAGGGGCCTTTATCTACTCCTGATGGTATATAAATATGGTTTATGTTTTGTTGATTATAGCTGTATATAGCGAAGCGTACCGACCGCGTAGGGATTGCTCTTGTTTCAATCCACCCACCAAGAATTTCTTCACACTTACCAGCCTTTCTTCACACTTACTAACTGACCAGGCCTTAGCAAGTGCAAAGCAGCTAGGAATAACCTTGTCCTACATTTGCTGCGCTCTTGGACCAATGGCGCGTCCTATTTTTTACCCTTTCTCTACTCTCTTTTCTCCAACGCGCGCATACGCTCTCTTTATCTCTCCTTCTTATTCTCTCTATTTCTACACTTGCTCAGTCTCCGTATCTTATTTGCTTTCCCTATTTTCTTATTTTGCACTCCCGTATGCCTAATCCTCTCCCGCACCATAATTCCCCTCCACTGCTCTCAATCTCCTTTGAGCTTATGAAATTCCCTGTAAGAACTAGTGCTTGTAACAAATCGGCGAAATAAGAAGTTTTTTGTATATTTATATTTGTTTTTATTACTTAAATACGTTTTATTTGCTGTGCTGAATGTCACATGCTTCCAGCGCAACGCTGTAACAGAATGATAAAATCAGAGAACCTGTCTCATGAAAATATAAAATGTATTTCACAAAATTATACTGCGACCAAAGGTATTACATATTTTTTGCTTGAGGAAGTGCGATACGCGGAGCAGCAAACATATTCCTAACATCATCATTACGATTTTCAATGTGATTCGATTCCAAGGAAGTCCTAGATAATGAAGACGTCTAAATTAAGAACAGACGCGACCTTTTCCAGCGGTAGCTTCAACACGTGTTTTGTGTACAGTCGCTTTGTAAACAACTCAGTGCGAGCCCCAAGCGCCTCTACCATTCCTGTAGCTGGTATGTTGTCACTCGGTGTATAGATGCCGATTTCAGATCCATCAGGTAGGGCCATTAACACCTGCCTCATCAGCTGCTTCTGTACCTGCTCCGTGTCACCGTAGAGTGGGAAGATGCTATAATTTATGTTGCCGACCATGTTGGTGGCAATGACAAAACCTGTGACCTTGCCTTTAGCATCTGTTGTAACAAACACCAGCTTTTTATAGGCCTGTATGTAGGGTCGCAGATAGCCTCCGCGGTCCTGCCCAGCGATGGACTTGTCGTAGTCGAGTACAGCTTGCAGCATCTCCTCGCTGTATGGCTTCACTATGATATTAGCATCATCTTCCAGCTTTAGGGATGCTGCGAGCTTGGCGTGGTCGACGGTGTAGCGTCGTGAGATCGCCATGAACGACTCGACGGTGAAGCCTAGTTTCTTGTTGGCTTCCACGCGTTCCATCACAGAGTTGATGCCAAAATTGCGGCTGCCAACGTGTTCAAGTCTGCGCTTGGTTAGCATGCGCCCAATGCCACGCCCTCTCATGTCACTGCGCACAATAAAGTAACCGCCAAATGCCTGGTCACCAATCACTACACTGAACACATAACCTGCAATGGAAGACAACACCGGGCGTGTTAATAATGTACGGTGGTTTGGTACTATGGAAATTAGCGCACAGTCTAAGAATCAATCTTGATCAACAGAAATTATCTAGAATACGATTGCTGGGTCAGTCACCAGCGGTTCTTCATATCTCTTTGTAACAGCATATAAGAACACACTGACACACATAAAGATAAATAAAACTTTTCCCCCT